ATCAACTTATATGGATGATACTTGTAGCAACTTACCTTGGTAATATAGTTGGTACTTTTGGGAGGTAAAAATTGAAAATTGAAAGTCCTTTTAAAAATATTGGGAAAAACTTTWWAAAAWAATATGAAAATTGTAATATTATTATTAAAAAAATTGTAATTTGTTTTTTATTTTTGGCACAAGACTGCATTTTAATTATTCAGGTGTGCCGTTTGTATTTTAATTAAATAGAAATTAGTGTGCTAATTTATCCATTCTTGATAATCAAATTCCACTTTTTTCAATTAAATTTTAAAACTTTGTCAWGGACATTAATTAATTACAAATTCTAGATGTTTAAAGGTTTTAAGAACTGAAAAATAGATAACAATAACCTAATAGTCAAATAACAATGCATTATATAATTATATCTACATGCATTATGCATATTGAAATTAAACATGAACATTTTTAATCACATAAGTCTTAAGCATAAACATTTTATAATCAACCATACCTAATATTACAAATTTAACCAGTGAAACATATTTTTGAAGATTTTAAAGACTTAAAGAKTTTACTGTCTCTATCAATATTTTGTGTTATAATATAAATATAATTAATTACAATTCAAACTTTTTTTTTTTTAATGTACATAAAAGAGTTTAGTAAATTAAAAATTAATAAATTTTATAATTTATTTTTATATTTCTTCAAGAACAATAAGATAATCAATCAAGAAAGAAATGCATAGGTCAAAATTACCAGTATGCAGTAGAATAACMTAAGTAAATTAAAAAGCCGAATTTGTTAAAATAATTTATATTGTTTTCCATTTAGCCCACAAAAATATTTACTTATAGCCGTTCAAAATACACTACAAGTTCACAATGTGGTGTTTGTGGAAACATATCAACAGGGACMGCTTTCACTGGTACAAATGGAGCACCTTGTTTAGTTTTAGATTCAGCCATGGACAAAGATAAAAAGTTTTGCATAGCCCCTTTAGGATTGCAAGACATATATACTAATCGTTTCAAATGTGTCATTCTTCGTAGTAGCAATATTGCTTTGTTATCTATAATGAATAAGTAAATTAATGACTTGTTATCAATACAGTATAATATGAAGCTAGTGGCTTGCTTACGTAGTCCTGCTCTGGGTGGATCAACTATGGCAACTACATCATTAGCATTTTCCGGGTTCTGAAATTCACGTCTGTTCATAACTTCTTCAGCTTTTCCAGCAAAGAATATTGCATTTGTGATACCATTGTTAGTAGCRTTTAATTTTGCCATAGTCACTGCAGCTTCCTGAATTTCTACACCAATTACTTGAGCACAATCCTTAAAAAAAAAAAAAATTATAAATTAAAAGTATTCTAATACATTGTACAGTGTACACAGTCAGCTTTCACATAAGAAACATAACCAAAAATTATTTTGAATTACCTTCGCTATAGACAGACCTATTGTACCAGAACCACAACAAACATCTAATACGGTAGTTTGTGAATTAATAGAAGCCAAATCTTTAGCGGCGTCAAACAATACTTCAGAAGCAGCTGTATTTATTTGAAAAAACGATTCAGGCGAAATTCGGAATTTAAGACCTTTCACTTCTTCAACAATATATTCTTGTCCATGTAACAATTCTAAGGGAAATGAATTTCCTTCGCCAGCACTAAAAAAAATATTTTTATGATAAATGTGATGTAATATCAGAATATTTTTCAATAAATCAGGAATAAAGCTTCAAAAATATTTAAATTAAGCTGACTAAATTATTATATTTTAATTAATTTTTAGTTTTAAAGATRAAACAGTCATTTTAAAAAGAAGTTACTTCTAGCTATTAATAGTTATATTATTGATATRTCAGAAATAAATACATAATATTTTTAATTCTTACGCTCTTTTTTTAGCTTTTTGAAAGTAAAGAGAATCTACTTTACAATCAGTTCCAGCTCCTTCAGTAAAATAACTYAAAATTAATTGTTTCAAAGAATTCAGGGCAGAGTCTTCCATGTTTTCTGTGTGTACTACACAAATYAACATCAATTGTTCAGTTTTTAAACTCAGTCTTACAGTTAACTGGCGCCAATGACCTGTATAATTTTCAGGATCAAATACAGGAAGTTTAGAAGCTCTAACCAAATCTTGAAAACACTACATAATAAAAGTATAGTAAATATTACATACATGAACATAAAATATGTGGCAGTATTTTATCATATTCTTATGTTCGCTATAAGTGAAATGAGAAAAATTGTTGTCCATTAGCATTTATTTCAAAAGAGATGAACTTACTTTAACAACATCCTTCATACGTTGAGGAACATTAGAAATATTATCAATAGGAGCAACACTAGTTTTTCCCTGGTTATATGCACCAACGCGAAAACCAACAACTGGCTCTTTATTTTCTACATCCATACCTAAAATTACAAAATATTTAATAAATAAATAATAGCGTTAACACAATTTTCATAAAGTTAAAAAGATAAACAAATATCATCATTATTTTTATACATTCCTAAAATAAAGTAAATTAAGCCATTAATAAATAATTTATATTTTCTTTATTTGACTAAAAATTAAAATTTCCTACTAATTTAGAAAAATGATATTGAACACATWATTACTTAAAAATTATTACTTTAGTTATATTTTTATAAAATATAAATATGCATAATTAATTAATATACCAGATACTTTACCTATAGTAAATTCGCATTTATTTCTATAACCAATACATTTCTCTGGATTGTCTTTAAGACTTTGTATTTCCAAAAGTTCACATGGAAGACCATTATTTACAGCTTGTTGTTTTTTTAACCAATCAAGTATACCTTGACCACACTTAATACGTTTCAATCGTCTACTATAATCCATAAGAACATTTCTTATAGAATTGGTTTTTTGAATTAGCTGGAACCAATAAAAATATATTATATTACATCGATAAATGTCTATTAATTATTTAAAGATATCACATATATATATATAATAGAATAAAAACATGCCCTTATGTTTTTAATAAAACGTCACCATTAAAAACCAAAATTGTATGAGTACAAGAGGTCTACAATCATAGAGCAATGAGCAATTTTTCCAATAAATCTATAACATTCAACATGTTATTTTCCAAATTAAGTATAGGTACATAATTATCACTCACTTGCTCATCATAAGATATGTTATAAAAAGGTGTAACAGCACTTATCATCTGTTGTTCTGCACCAGCATTGTCCAATTTAATTTTCTTTACATCAGGACACTCGTCAAATTGTTCATTACGTTTTTTTACTAATGGATCAGGAACAGCTTTGGCATTCTAAAATGTTTTAAAAACAATGAAAACAATTTGAAAATTACACATATATAGGATACTTACGCTAGCATCTAATTTTGTGTTTTTCCAATTATATCCATTCAAAATACCTAGAGCTGTATTTTTGTCTTCTTCTGAACGAAAACACATATAAAGCCACTTTCCATTACGGTTAGGCGTCTTAACTTTAGAACAATTTAATTCCAATTTTATATTTATCAATTTTTTAAATTCCTGAAAATATTTAAAARTATTTTATATTTACAATGAAATTGTAGTAATTAATATTCCTATTTCATAAATGTTGTTCCCTAAAAGWTACTTACAGCAATCCCATAATGTTTTGGAAGGTTTCTTATTTCTATCTTGTACTTTTCAGAAGTGAAATCATCACGATCTAAATAAGCAAAAGGATCTCCTTTTGCCACTGATTTGGTTTGATTTTCTTTTTCTTCTAGTCCKACTTCACTGTCTTTTTCGTCAGAATTTATTTGAAATTCGTCAGCCAAWGACTCCAATTGACATTCTTTTTTGATTGGTTCTATTTCATTCACTTCTTCTTCGGATATTGATTCTGAATGATTTTCATTTTTAACTGTTTCTGGTTCATTCGATTTTTCCTCACATTTCATTTGAATTTCCTTAGTCACTGGTTCTAAACAATTATCAACATTAACTTCCATCATGGACTAAATTGTCAAATTTTATACAATTAAAAATTCGGTTTTAGAAATAAATCGCGTCTTGCTTTAAATTTATTATTTAAATAATAAATGTATCAAATTAAATTTTAAATTTTATAACCAAACATAAAATTATTGTTACCCGATTGATATCATTCTGGATTAGAATTGATAATAATTCACGTGTTTTTGTTGTTGTACTTACTGACAACAATTATTGTTAACAAAAATTATTGTTATCTATAAAAAAATAAGAAATCCAATAAACACTATATAGTGTTGATGTTGAACGTTTAAATACTACATAATATTATTTTTTATATATTTAATTATTGTGAGCTTTTTTACTCATTATGCCACAGGGAAAATTCAAAAATAAATCTCAAGTTTCATTTTCAAAGAAAAAGAGGAACGAACCAAGTAAAAGTAGAAAAGGTAATCTTTTCATAGAACTTTTTTATAAATTATAATAACTGATCTATACCTTATATTTTATTATGGATCCTTAATTATATACATTTTACTGTATAGCATGTCCAATGCCTTCAAAAAAACACAAGTATGAAGAAGGTCAGCGGATTAAACGCATGATAAGTAAAAATGTTAACAAAATGGCTGAAGACGATTTAAGATCATTGGCTATGGATARCAAGAAAGTGTTCCTTTCAAAGAAGAAGAAGCAAGTTGCACAAACAGTTAAAGCTACAGACCCTAAACCTAAACAAATCAAGGTTACACAAAAATGATCTTGCCATGTTAAAATAATATGTATAATATAAATTATTTTGAAAATATATAGATATTCAAATTTAAATAATTATAGATGTGTTTTGTTTAATATGCTAACCAGATTATGTTATAATACAATACAATCACAAATTGTACTAAGAATCTCCAACAATAATACAATACCATATTGACTAGTGGCTCCCCTCTACCATTTTGACACTAATCCTATGTGCTGACTACTTACTCATTTTTAGTCCAATTTATTCTTAATTTTTATCCTTAGTGTCCTATTATTCCTAAGTTGCTAAATTTTTATATAATTATCATTCATTATT